ATATTTTTCTATTATGAATTGTCGAGCCGTGAAATCTCGTAAAAGAAACCGAGTGGTGTAGCTTTACACGCTTGACTGACAGCGAGCGAGATAACATAGGCGTAGCAATGACGCAGACCTAGGCGTAGGACCATCTATACTGACACTTGTAGAATCCAAACTGACTGACACTTGTGGAGAATTTACTGTATATCGTTACTCATAATAACTATCAAATAAATAAACACTTCATAAGTTTCTCTTATCGAAAATTACGTTACACCTATCCCCCGATTTACACGGAAGGTCGGTTCCTCAGAATACCGTGTAAATCGAAATCATGGCTTTTTGTATGAAAAACCGTGTAAATCGAAAAAAAAAAATGGGCACAATTTAGTCAATTATTTAATTAAATTCATTTATTTCAACGTAAAATAAAACTAAATATATCTTAAAAAAACATAAAAATAACGGTCTATTCATAAAATGATAAGAATATAAAGGTGTATGTATGTAATTCATTTTACATATAGAAACAAGAAGTATAAATTAAAAAATTTAACCAAAAATTTAATTACTCTTATCACTTTCGTAGACTATTAATCTTTTATTCCTGGTTGGTATGATGTCACTTTCATCACTCGATAGTACTTGATGCGATTCAAGTTCGATGTTAGATGAATTAGAAACAATTTCAGATCGGCGAGCCTTGGTAATGAAATCCGTAATTAACAATTGTGTTTGGTTTTTGATCAAATCTTTATAGACCTCCTCATATTGAGTTAAGCGTTTATTAATATCTCGCTGAAATAGGAGAGCTCGTTCAACATTTGGGTCATTTTGTAGAAAATGATTACCCAATTTTCGCCCTAATTCAAGTCCTTCACGGATGACTTTTTCTGTGAACGCAACTGGTTCAGACTCCTCTTCATCAGGATCACTGCACGATCATTTGTTTCATTAACCATGTCAACTAAATCATCCTCATCTAGTTCTTTGCCCGCCATTAGTTCTACAATATCTGCCTCAGCAAAATCCTCGAAACCTTCTCCTCCCGTTGTATGCGCCATCTCCGTTATCTGAGAATATTCATGTTCCAATGGTAATCTAGAATTTTCACCTTCAACTACATCTGGCCATAATTTTTTCCAGCAGGCATTGAGCGTTGATTGCTTAATCTCGGTATATGACACTCCAACATGCTTAACACTGAGGGGAAGGGTAGGAGAAGACAAAGGTTAATAAAGCCGTACTCTACACACTTTCAAACCTCGTTTTAATTAGACGCGGAACGCGTGAACATTAATTGCTACCGCAAGTAAAAGCGATGAATACAATGAAATCAAATAACGGTGTGAGGCGAACGATTGAGCAGCACAACGTTCTGCCGATCGTCGTTTTCGACTCTCTTCTTATACCCTATAACCCGGTCTTTCGGGTTATATGCCCCTTAGACAAGGGCAGGGAGCAAGCCGCGCTACCGAAAAGCGCGGGCGGAAAGGCGCGCGTAACAAAAAAGGCGCCAACTTTCTGGTGAAAGTTGGCTGGCCAGGAAAAACCCTGACTCGTGCGAATCTGGCTACCAGATGCGAGAACTGACCATAGCCAGACTCGCACGGCCTTGGCGGAGGGCATACAGAAGTCCTTGGCGTAGCTACAACACAATTTAAGATTGTAAATTTTTTCCAAGCATCCATAATTGGGAGAGATTCATCATTTTCCATTTGTTCTAAAATATACCTGAAGGTTCGCTTGATGTACAGTGCCTTAAAAGTCGAAATTATCCCTTGATCTAACGGCTGCAATAAAGAAGTCATATTCTTGGGTAAAAATACAACTTGCACATTTTCGTGTTGTAAATCTTGAGGATGTCCTGGTGCATTATCAATTAAAAGATGGGCCTTAAAAGGCAACCCCTTTTTACTTAAATACCTTTTGACGTCTGGGACAAAAAAGTTATGAAACCATTCATTAAAAAGTGTGGCAGTAGTAACCCCTGCCTTCTTATTGGCCATCCAATAAACGGGAAGGTTGTTGATGTTTATTCCTTTAAATGAGCGTGGCGTTTTTGATTTGTTAATAACTAATGGTTTCATTATATGATCGCCTGA